TTTAAAATCAAATTTTTGAAATTGCATATTTAATGGACGGCAACAGCGCTGTTGGACACGCCCAAAAAAATTGTTTATATCTATGGATAGAATTGTCTAACTTCATGCCACCTAACCAAGTCTTGTGACAGATGAGTAAATAATTTGTACAGTGTGCAGTGAATCATTTAACCCATTACCCTGTAAATATTTACCAATTAACCCGCTCCTATTAACAGTTCTAATATAAATAAACTACGTGAGTTTTTTTCCTTCCTTCCAAACACCCCAGGCCGAGAGTGATTCAATATTTGGTTGTGTGATACAGGTGTACTCGATATTTTCGTGATTTTCAAAGAAAAAGTGCGAATTCTTAAGTTATATACGATTTGAAATGGCCGATAAGGAGGACTATTTGACCAGTTACCGCGAATTTTTCGAACATTTCGCCAAAACTGTGAACCCACACGATCAGCTGCCCGTCAAGTTGGGGAGCTACAAATTGCTGAACACCGAAGTGATTGGAGGCATAATTGATTGGACCACCCAGTACTTATCGCAAAAGTGAGTAAACTTGGTAGAAGATTAATTGAACAAGCCCTAAAGCAACTTGTCTATCAACACGTACCTGATATTGGTTTATTTACCAAAATAACACACACTGTTTTGCTGTGACTTGACAAGAACTTGCGCAACTGCGACCAATTTGCTTGTAAACAGCTATCAATGACCCCAAACTGCTTTCTCCGGTTTATGCTAATTGTATTCTTATTTATTTGAGTATAAACAATGATTGTTGCTAATTATGTGGCTGCCACCAGCGTAAATAAGTCACAGTTTTGTTACTTTTACAGTTCTTAATTTATCTCCACCCTGTACATTCTGAAAAAGCAAGGTTTTTAAAGCATTATTTAGCTGCTTTTAATGCTACCGAGCTGATCCTATTTAGATTATGGCATTGATTTCCGGTTGTTTCACTTCCTCTGGACTGCTACATTTGCATGTAATGTGCATCATCGCACATTTAGTACGGTAAATAGGTGATTCACTGGTTTTTAATGCTCTCCTTTAATAGTTCTAATAATTTTATTTTAAGTAGCTAAACAAGGGCGTAGGCAGATGCTTGTTTAACACGAAGTTGGATAAAATTGCATCAGTTGCAACCTTATCTTATCTACAATCGTTTATAATTATTCACTATCTCAAATCTCTTAACGGAAAGCTCTGTTTTCGTGTCCCTTGCTCTTCAATGATTGCTGTATTTGTTATAAACATACCTACTTATATAACCAAATAAAAAGTTCTGGTAGTTTTTGTACCAACACACTCAAAAATTCTTCATTTGCCCAAAGCGGATGAACCCTGTTGATTCACCAAAACATCTTACATAGAAGCAAATTCATATTTGGTATCGTCTTTCTTTGAGCCAAAGAACGTCGTAGTACCATGTGATTAGGGGACACCCTGTATATTGTCAAAGATACGTAATTCGTTACTAGTAATTTGTCTTCAATTTGCTAGGTACTTTTTTGGGAATGCTGTTAGTGGAAACACTTTTGCTGTTGTGTCTTTGCCAAGCGTATCTAGTGGGAAATTACAAAAATTTCCATTCTCATTAATTCAATGTTATTGTGTCATGCATCTATTCTTTAAAATCATAAAAAGCAGCAACTGTTTATAACTTAATAGAACACGGATCACACAAAATTCGCGACAGACTCAAGATGTTTTTTATTTATAGCTCAGGACTCTTACTGGAATTTCCAGCTATTTGCTCTTTGAGTGTATATTTAATATGGAGTAGTTACTAAGACTTCGAAGAAAATCGTTCCTAATACCACATTCTTCCCCATACTTCCTGGTATTTCTGCCGAACTTAATGCATACTCTCTAAGAATACATATATTCGATTTTTCGAATTATTGGCAATGTTTTATGAGGTGGTTTTTTATTTTCGTAAATGAACTTCTACATCTCGGTGTACTAGACGAATATATTGGTTTTTTACGCGGGCAAAACTCCAAACTTTGTTCTAAGAGTCGAAAGTAAATCCGAATATTTATCTACAAGAGCAAGTGTGTAGGAATTCGCGTATGTCTGTGAACTAATTAAGTGTAGGAAGTAGCAAATGACCAAATTAATGGAAACAGCAGATATAAGTCATGAACCAGTTGTTCTTTACTGCGATTAGACTCGATTTTGGTTTGAAATTGTCTCCTTGACCTTTATTCGAAAATTATTGTTGAGAAACGAATTTATTTGCCGGAATGTTCTATCTATAATAAACAAAAATTGTGTTTTTTGACAAAAAAAAATGGAAATTTTATTTTCAACGGTTCTAAATCTTAAACCTACTTTCTGTTTTCCAAAAACCCCCAAATTAAATAAATTGCATGAATATTCAAATAGCCTATTTTAAAATCCCGTTCGCATGCATTTTACGCAATTATCATGCGCTATTAAGTAAGTTTACTTCTTGTACGTTTCGTCTTTTTAACATCATGAGATGAAAATAATCTAGACAGTCAGATTTGAAAGATATTCAGTTAAAAATTGATTGAATCCATATAGTCTGTGGCGTGATGAATGGTACATTCTGTAAATTAACCAGGAAAAGAAGGTTTTAGACGGACATGTGGAGCATTCAAAATGCTCTACTGCACGTTATTTAAGAATCTTTAAAGTCGCTTGAAGTTTAGAGAATTTTGTTGATTAGAAACCAAGCAAACTAAAAATAAATAATTAGGAACTGAAAATTAAATTCATTTGGTTGCAATATTCGAATGTTCGTGATGAAAAAACATTGAGACGGGTTTAAAGAATTTAAAAAAAATTGAGAATATAAAATTAACCAAAAACTGCACAATTTAAATATATTTTATGAATTTCATAGAGTAGGTACATTTCAATTTTTGGCGGGGGATATTTCCTATTATCCTACCACATTGGCATTAGATTCAAACACGTCACACTAACATCGTTTACGAAAACCACCCCTAATGCCCATAGAGCTTTTCTCTAACCCGTTCAATTAGTAGTAAATAACACGGTGATTTTTATTTGAAATTTACAGATATTGACAAAAGCTATGATTAAAATTGAATTTAATTTGCCCCCTTATAACTAAGTAGATTCTAATTTACATTTGAGTTTTGGTACAATTATTTATATGCCCCTCAGTAAACACAGGCGTCAGGGGTATTGGTATCTTGGGTCCTGCCCTGGAATAATTGTCATTGATTTTGTGCTGCCGCCTATGCGCGGTCCGTTTTCTTGCTCTGTTAGAAGATTTGAAGGTCTGAATAATTTGCTGTCAAAACATATTCGGTATTTTGAGCATTTTGCGGTTTATTTTACGTTTAAAAGGTAAGTAAATACGGTTTTCAACACGAATTCAAATAGCCACCACTTAGCCTGCCCGGGCAAATGCCGTTTTGTTATCATAACCTAACTATTTGATACAACTTGCAGATCTGGAAAATGAATTGGGCCCATTGGCAACCACAGGAAAGTGTCCTGAATTCAGTCAAAGATGTGTTGCAGGAAGCTTTGATTCCTGATACAGAAATACAGAAGAATGTCCATGAAAAGCTCAGTATTATTCAAAACATTCCGGACATCACGTACTATTTTTTGTCTATCCTGGGAAATCGGGTCTATTCAGAGGATGTGCGAAACTTGAGCGGCGTCCTGCTAAAGAACAATATCGCCAAAACCTATCAGATGCTGCCGCAGGAAAGCGTTCAGAAAATTAAAGATGAATGTCAGAGTCTGCTTATGGATCCTTCCAGGAATATCAGGTTAAGCGCCTCAAATGTTATAGTAATCCTAGCCAGAAATCATCTAAAGACATGGCCAGATCTAATTTCCTATTTACTGAAACTATTTGCCGATCAGAATCTGTTTAGTGAAATAGCCTTAAATACCCTCTCTAAAATTTGTGAAGACCTGATTAACAATCGCAAAACCCAAGAAGAGGTTTATGGAATAATTAATGAGGTATTTCCAACAATTATGGAATATCTTGGAAAAGAAAACTGCACGATGTATCAAGAAATTGTCAAACTATCCAACCAGTTTTTGCAAGATTATTTTCGCCTCATGCAGCATTCTGTTGATTTGACGCTGTACTTAGAAAACATAATTCGTTTGGCAGATACCAGTGACATAGAGCTTCAAAAATATGTTTGCCACACATTTGTAATCTATGTAAGCAAGCAGGAGGAATCTTTACTGCCACACTTGCATGATGTGATCATGTATTTAATGGAGAAAAGCACTCATGAAGACAACGATGTGGCTTTACAGGCCTGCGAATTTTGGTTGGCTACATCTAAACTCCCCAAATGCAAAGAGATTTTGACTCCTTACATGGCAAAGTTACTGCCCATCTTATTGAAAAACATGAGATATTCAGAGAGAGAGTTATACTTGATGAAAGACACTTTGGGCTCAGATGCCCATAAAAAGGATTTGGCCCAAGATATTACGCCTTTTCACATGAAAAGTAAGAATAATCAAGACGATGACGATTTTTTCAGTGATGAGGAGATAGGTAATCAGGACGATGATTTTGATGACTTCTATATGGGCTGGACGTTGAGGAAATGCAGCGCGTCTTCACTTGATTCGCTGGCTGTATGCTTTGGAGAAGATATTCTCCCCATCCTTCTACCTCTGATTAGTGAAATGCTCAATCATTCTGACTATTTAGTTAAGGAAAGTGCGATTCTGGCCTTGGGTGCAATATCAGAGGGTTGTTCAGAAGGCCTCAAATCTCATCTACCAGAGCTGGTAAATTTCCTCCAGTCCTTAATGAATGATTGCCATTCAGGTGTTCGGATTATTACATGTTGGGCTTTAAGCCGCTATGCTTCATGGATTGTTAATGTCAAACCCGATTCACCTCAGATGTATTTCGTGCCCATTATGCTACTGTTATTAAAGCACTCTGTTGATGATAACAAGAGCGTTCAGCGCGCCGCTATTTCCGCATTTTGCGTCTTTCAAGAGGAAGCCCAATTGAAACTTGTTCCCTATATTGGAGTGATAATCGAAGGATTTTTAATGGGATTTGAGCGATACCAATGCAGAAGCCTGTATTTGCTATATGATGCCATTGGTGTGTTGGGCAAATCAGTAGGTACGCACTTGAGCGAGCAGCAATATGTTTCCAAATTACTGCCCCCTTTGATAAAAAAGTTTACTGAAAGCGACAATTACTACGACGATCATTATGTGGCAGTTTTGGAATGTTTAGCCAACATAATTCCTTTTCTGGAAGTTTCATTCTTGCCTTATGCAGAGGTTGTTTTCTGCCACTGTCTTCAGCTGATTAATGATACTCTAATTTCTTATATTAACTATCAGGAAAATCCTGATGAGTATGACCCGCCGGACAAGGATCCGATGAGTGTTGCTCATGATGTTTTGTACACAATGGCCGGCGCATTAAAAAGTCACTTTGTAAAATTCGTCTCCAACAGTAACTTGGTGTTCTTGCTTCTCACCACCATTCAGGATAGTTCAAATTCAATTCGACAGACTGCGATCGCTCTTTATGGGGAACTGGTTACTTTATGCTATCCTCTGTTGTCTTCTAGCGTCAACAGCTACATTCCACTAATAATTAATAACTTAGATGAGCACAATGACGCGGTTTGCCAAAATGCTGCCTGGGCAATTGGCAAATTGTGTACGGTGATGGGGGCATCTATTCAACCTTACGTGCCACAAATCTTGGAACACTTTATGCATATTATTAGGAACCCTGCAGTGGCCAGAACCATGCATCAGACTGTGGTTGTGTCATTATGCACAGTTTTTTATGTTTGTCCTGATGTTCAAATTTCTGATATTAGCGGTATTGTAAAGAATTGTTGTACCATGATTAGGTTTTTAAGGGACTGTGAGGAGAAGGATTTAGCATTTAGGGGATTATGTGCCATTATCATGCGGAACCCTAATTTTGACAAGAATTCATTTATGTATTTCTGCGATGCTGCAGGATCTTGGTTCAATATCCGTCCCGATTTGAACGACGCTATTAAAACTATTCTGATGTCTTTTAAACAGCAATATTCTGAGGAGGCTTGGGCAACGTTTTCCGCACAATTTCCAGATAATCTTAAGGCCAAATTGCACGACTTGTATGGAGTGTGATAACATGCGGATTCATTGGCTAGGGGAATTAAACAAATGGGTGGGAAAGCTTGAGTGCACCTGCCTTGAGTTTAGATTAAAATGTGCTCTCTAAGTATGGGTGGGAATTTTCATAATTGTTATTCACGCGAATTTATATCAGAGCCTTGATATATGTATATGGGAACGTTTATTATTTCTCAATCAATAACTGTTTCTGACCAGTCAATTATAATTTTATACTCCCGATGGTCACTGATTTGATCCCAATGTAGACAAGTAAAAAAAAATGGAAATAAATTCTGTTATATTTTTATATGCAAAACTAAATGTACAAATTGGCCTTAATTGGGCAGCACAAGCTTTGTGGCGTTTAATTTTCGAAATTATCATGCAGGGTAGTAGCTGAATAAAGTTTTACGTTTTCTAGCAAATCATGGGTCTAGTGCGTTGCCTAAGGTGCTCATTTTTTTATTAGGCAGTAAGGTAGTTGTGTTTAGTCATAATTTTGTATTGTCACATTGCAGATCAAGTAAATTTGTTTATTAAATTCACGTGTTAGTCCCGATATTATTAGTGCTGTGTTTATAATTTTGATTAATTTAATTCTTGGTATCTTAATTGTTTCTGCAACTACTGGCAATTTGTGTTCAATCGGTAAACATATATGCTGACTTCTATAGAATTGTTTCCTAAAAGACTAGTGCCAAATATTTTACGCAGTCAAACCTTTGCAGTATTTGTATCAAACATTAAAATATCCCGCTGAACAAATGTCGCATGTTTTTTTTCAATGGAAGAATAGGAATCTTTTGTTCGATTGTTAGTTCGCATTTTTCTTTGTACCGTGTAAATTATGCAATTTGCATACATTCCTGTTAACCTATGCCCTTTTAAATAAATTTTTCATGTTTTAAATGATGTTTTATTTTGTTTTACCTTGGTGGTTTATTAACAATGGGAAATCCAGAAACTGGAGATACTGCACGTCAAAGCAAAGGATGATGCCTTATCGGTGTTGATATTTTCGTATTTTTGATTCGTTTTTTTGGCATTATTATGAAAATATCTGGCTTAAAAAAATAACAAAAGTTCTTGTGACTAGATTTTTAGATGAGTAAGATACAGTTTCCACGTTGCTCATACAAGTTCAAAACGTGAAAGCAATCATTTTTACATCAATTAAGTCTTCTTGTTTCATACCAAGATTTCGGTCAGTTTTTGAGAAAAACTGTTTCAACGAACACTCGGTTTTAATAATACGCTAAAATTAAGAGCGACACAAGTCAATTTACTCCAGTCTCATCAACAAAATATCATATTTTCCTACGGTCGTAACAGATTTAGAACTAAGACTTGAAGTCATCTTCAGTTAATTGCCAAAAAACTTTCAAAGTTGCGTTTGGATTGTGCTGTAATTTTTGCAGGCTGGAGCTGGACATTTTTTCCGCAGAAATGAATAAGACTAGACAGTTTTTTTAGGCATGTTGTAGGGGAAAGTTAATTTTTTTTTCGGTCATCATCACACAATTATCAAGAATTTTGCAAAATCATGTCTCTTGTGGTGGTTTTTGCAGGCCGGAGTCTATCATTTATTTTCTTTGTAACTTGTGAAATGAGAAACCTAATTTTGAATGCTTCTTGTACACCAAAGTCCCTTAGATAAGTGAAGAAGGTTTCGATTATCAGTCAATAGGCAATTTTTGACAATTTTGCAAAATTGCAATTGGTTTACAAGTCTGTGTTTTGCAGGCCGGAGTTTGCCGAGTTTGGAATTTATTTATCCAGAGACTAACGAACTGAGAAAGTCCCATTTGTATGTATTTTGCAGAGCAAAATATATTCTAGAAAAGTGAAAATCTTACATTTTCAGTAATCACCAGTCAAAGTTTTCCAAAGTTAGATGTAGTTTTCGCGGATGTTCAAGCAGGTCGTAGTTTAACATTAATTTTATCAGAAAGTTGGAAATTTAAAGATTCACTTTTGTATCACATTTGTGGGCAAAGTGGGCTCTATAAATGGAGTGGATCAGTGGGAAAATCAATTTTCAGTAGTGATCAGGCAATTATTGACAAATTTGCGTTTGTTTTTCGAAGGTGTTTTTGCAGGCCGGAGTTAGGTATTTGTTTATGTAGGAACAAGAGAAAGTCACTTTTGCATATATTTTATATTGCAAAGTTTGTTGTACCAAACTGTTTCATCAGCGAATTTCAAAGATCTTTTTAAAATTTCTTTCCCAAAATTTCGCATGTTCGGTTGGTTTATGAGGTAGGAGTTTCACAGTTATTTCCTCTGAAACTAGTGAAGCCAAGGAATCATTTTTGTATGAATTTTGTAGGTCATGAGCCGTTTTGTAAGTGACAAAAGTTTCGATTTTGAGCCATCATCAGGCTATTGTCAAGATTAGTTAAAAATTGCGATAGAATTTTGTGGTTGTGTTCTTTTCTCAGAAACCAGTGTGGCTGCAGATTTTCTTTCCAGTGCATGAAGAGGCAAAAGTTTTTTGGCAAAAGCAATTTTTCAGAAGCTTTTGAAGGTGTTTTTCATTTTCGAAGTTGCTTTGCAGGCTTAAGTTTGGCATTTGTTTTTTCCATACCTTCAAATGTTGGAGATTCACCTTTGCATAACTTTTGTAATTTAAGGTGTGTTCTATAAGTGTTCATCCTCAGGGAATTTCTAGAAGTTATTTAAATTTTCTTTTTATTTTGCCTTTGTTTCTGCAGACAGTTTCAAAGCTTTTTTCTCAGAAACTTGTCAAGTTAAGTGTTGACTTTTGTTTAAATAAATATTGTAGGACATAGTCGGTTTTATAAGGGACAAACATTTCGATTTTGAGTTATAATCAGGCTGTTTTAGCCATTTTGGCCTACTAAGATACTTACAAACAATCACCGACTACTAGTTTTAGGTGCTTACTTTGTCAACATTTTATTTTGTCACGTTAATTTACTATTTCAATACTCCAATTCACCTACATTAGACTAGTTGAACGAATATGTGAACAAAAATCGACGTCGATTAAACGTCTGGTCATATTTGTGGTCACTCTTCTAGATATTTCTATTTAGTGTGAAATAAAAAATAGGTTTTGCAAAGAAAACATCGTTTATTGTGAAAGTGAATGATTTAGGCCTTTGAACTCGAAAATGTCTTGTAAAACACTATGTAAAGTGTTGGTTGTTAATGGTGTTTTATTTAATTTATTTATTAATTTATGTTTGTTGTTAGGCAATGGTGGGCACTTAAAACAATCACTTATATTTATGACATAGTTATTACGAATTTTACTTGCTTTATGAATAAAGTTATTACGCGATCTGCTCCATTTTTAGTCTCGCGTTTTATTAAAACCTAATGTCCGTTGTATCCATGTTTTTCCAAAAACGGAACTCATAGTTGCTATAAAACAAGATTACTTGATGTACGTAGGATTAATTGCTCTTTTAGGTAGGTGTTTAACCAAATTTGATGTTACACGTAGGGTGAAAAGTTGTAAATGTCGGCGAAAATGGTCGCAAGTAGCGTTTTCTATGAACAACCAGGAAATAGCAACCGATTTCATATTCGTCAGAAATCAGAAAATTTCAGAATTATTGACGAAAAAACATTTTTTTTACAGCTTCTGGGTTCCCTATTGTTAATAAATCACCCGAAATACAGAGTTTTGCTTTATTAAAATCAACTCATAACGGTTGCATGAAAACTAATAATTGTCCTTATGTATGTTTTAACGACATTTTCATTTTAAATGCAGGCACTGTCCAGACCATTTATTTTCGCCGCTCATCAAAGTGGTCATCGAAGAAATTAGGAAAGCCTGCAAGAAGGACCCGCTTAGTTATGGTTTCAATTCCAACGATAATGGTGCGTATTATGAGTTTTGTAATAAATTTTTGGGCTTTTAGTTAACATTTAATTTTTGTATCTTGTGTTATGGTTCTGTTACAGAAATAATCTACAAAGCCAGATTCGCATGCTATTAAGGTTTGCATTTTTTCGAATCCACATAAACATTATGCCTTGATAAATAAATTATTTAAAAATATACATTTTTATTGCGTAGCTACGATGCTTTGCTTTAGGATAAAAGAGGATGAAGCGAACAAGGTCGGGAGCGAATGATGGCATAAATGAAACGAAATGAACAAACGTGGGAGAATCAAACAAATCATGAACATTGAACAACAAATTATTTTTCTATACAGGGAAATTAGGAGAGAAAAGAAATATTTCAAGGAAAGTCTGTAGGAAGTCAAAATGAGGAAACTAATTTCATTTGAATTAAGATATGTTGTTCAGGCGGAAGAACATGAAAAGTAATGAAAATCTTCTTAAAAGTGACTGAATTTACAGTGGATTGTAGGGGGTAGTGTGTGTGTGCTTACCCTTCACCATATTAAGAGGCAGTTGGAACCTGCACATCGCTCTGAAATACTGCAAAGATTTCAAGACAAATTATTTGATTTGGTTTAATGGAAAGTGAACTATATTCCAATAAATTTAAACAGATAAGGCGGAAATACGGAAGTTATCTAAAATGATGCACGAAGACCCACGTCACATCCAGAATCGTTGAAAATATGAATGAAAAAGATTAATATTACATTGTAAAACGACTCTTCTGCAGTTTTTTCAACAAAGATTGTTTCCTTAAAAAGAACATCTTGTAAATATGGATTGAGTTTATTAAAAAACACATCTTATTTTCCGTTTTTAGCGTATGAACCCTTAAAGCTGATGCAAGCTGTGATGGCCAAAACCAACGAAGTTTGTCTACGATACCTGGATAACAGTCTGTTATACTCCCTGCCTCCTCCGTCAAGTACCTACTATGCGACCAGTGTGAGTGCGAAACGAAACAAGCGAAGAACAATGGAAGATCGACATGTCGCCATTCACGACTTGAATCTTATGTTTAATAATCAGGTAACGCTTTGCGAAACTGAGGTTGATTTCCAGGCATTAATTTGTCCATTTGTGTTCCAGGAAGCCAGTCCGTCCAGTTATTATGCAATATTCGACGGCCATGCCGGCCACGATGCTGCCGTTTACAGTGCTGCCCATTTACACCAATATTTAGCGGAAAATAAGAATTTTATCAATAAGCCAGTGCAGGCCTTACTAGACGCATTTTGCAAAACAGACGCTTGCTTTTTAGAAAAATGTAGAGTAGAGGTAAGTGTAAGTGCCATCTTGTTTCGATATCAGCTTTCATTTGCGCTTTTTAGCATTTTAGCGGAGGCACAACTGCTGTAGTTGCCTTGTTGAGGCCCAAGGAGAAAGTTCTGTATATAGCATGGGTGGGTGATTCTCAAGCCTTGTTGGTCAAACAGGGAAAGATTCTTCAATGCGTCGAACCCCATACTCCATCTAGAGATGTACATTAGCACAAAATTTCAATTAAATGCATACTGACTAGATAATTTTTAGTCGGAGCGAGCAAGAATTGAGCGCGAAGGCGGCTCAGTTATGTTTTACGGCACCTGGAGAGTTAACGGCCAACTAGCGGTATCTAGAGCTATAGGTATTTACACGAATATTACTTAGACGGGCAATTTCTTATAATTTTCCATTCAATCAGGCGATGCCGCCTACAAGCCTTATGTAACAGCAATTCCTGAAGTTATCGATATTCCACTGGATGGTGGAGAGGACTTTTTGATACTTGCCTGCGACGGATTATGGGACCACGTTAACGAGGATGAGGCCGCTCAAACGGTGTACGACTTTATAGCCGAAAGACCAGGTAAGATTGTGTTTTGAGTGATTTCATGCTAAAGTATGGCATTTTGACTTTGACTATTGGGACTGAAGAGGGCAAGCAAAACGCCCAAGTTGCTTTTAATATGCAACGTTTTGTATGCTGATGTAATCTATTTGATCTTAATAACCCCAGGAATTGATGGACCAGGTTAAAATTGTGTCAATTCTTGATATAAACTAATAAAATAGTAAATTAAACTGAGGACTTAAAGTAGAAAGTTTTATCGCCCGTCGCTCTCATAACCGATAAACTTTTCCTTTGCACCTAAACCCTTTGAAGTTGTCGTATTTCTTGGCAGCGTCCTTATATGCTAGTGATTTGACCCTTTCAAATGATCAGTTGGTCAATTGGCTAATGCCGCGTACTTTGTTGTCCTTCAGCCCTTTCAATGATCTTTTTATTTCACACTTTTATATATATAACATCTGGTATTAGTTGGATAAGAGTTTGTAATTTTGGTCTAGCAGTTCATAATTTGAAGCTGCCGCTCTGATCACTTGTTCCTTAATACTTTAGGTTTTTGTGAGGTCCTAAACATCACAATTTTCCATATTTCTTCCTTATGTTGTGCTATATATCTTCTCACTCTTGTTCCAGTTTTTCTTTATGTAGGGTGTTTCTTTTACAATTTCATTCCTTCACCAGTAATTTCGTGTGCTGTTAACTTGTGTTTTTCAATATGTTGCTATTATCCACATGTGTATCTTAGTACATATCCCTTTTGTAATCAATGTTTGGCTCGATTTTTTCGATATAACGACTCTGACTGTCTTCAACTGTATATATTCACTATCGGTATTTAATCGACTTCTTTTCATTGATATATTTTGTTTATTTTTCTTTAAGCTTATTTCTAATCTTTTTTTGTTAATCTATCATCCCTGCAATCGATACAATGCCTATATACCCATATTGTCTATTTTATTGTGAGTGTTTTCTTCGGGACTCAGCCGCTTCCATTTTTTTCATGGAAATTTAGATTCGAGACCCTCATTCCACGTCTCTTCGGCAAATTTACAAGATTTTCCTTTCTCGTTTTTAGTCAGCGGCGGCGTATTTTCCGTATGTTATTTGTTCTTTGGGATGGGGATGATGTCTATATATTGAATATTTTTATCGCAAAACATGATTTATAGGAAGATATGGATTTGATAATTGGATATTTTGCACACTGGTGGTTTGCGATATTTTTAATGGTGCAAGATTTTAGCGATATAAGACTTTTCTTTTCCCTTATAAGCTTTCTTGGTATTTGAACTGAAAGATATTGAGTGCCATGTTACCTACAAGTTGATATATTTTTTAGAGATGAGAGACAGGTGAAGAAAATTTTCTTGAAACTATATACTAGGGGCTGTTATAGTGGGTGGCTCAATGTATAGTAGCACATACCCAAACGGTCGATGTAAAACCGTATTTTAACGCAAAACTTTTTTAATTACCTTTTTTATTGCAATGAAACAAAATAGCTACTTTGTCACCCTGTAGTTTAAAAACGGATAAGGTTTTAGGATATGTTTATATAACTTTCTGGTCTTAAAATAAGGTTTTATATAAATCATCGAAGTTATGTTTCAAGTGACTCACTCCTCATGCTTTCATAATTTTCCTCTAACCGGTAAAATCAGTGTTAAAAATTAGTCATTCGTCGCACATTGGTTGTTGACGATTCCCAAATATAAATGACTCAAACAACAATAACACTTTTTTGCAGCAAACTGTATCAGAATAACATTAAAGTTAATAGTAAGTTGCGAATAATTTTTGTGTCTTTTTATTTTATTTTTGAATGAAATTGAATGAATGAATTTTAATTAATTTTGCTGTGCGTTTCTTCTCTTACATATTTGAATGCAGCTTTCGCGTTCATCGGCTATGGGCAAATGGTGAATTCGAGAGTGTCTTGGTACAAAAATCACAAAGAGATTTTACTTGGAAGCGGAAATCAATTATATTTTTTATGCAGCCAGCGGTCATTCCTTGTCGGGATTTTTGGGCTTTTTGAAAAATCCCGTAGCTTTCATAGTTTAAGCGCAAACATTTTCAGATCAAACTGTTAGATTGTCTTCTTTTCGGACACCCGGCATTGAAAGTTTTCATTATATAGCAGCCCCAGTTTTTAATACAAAGTCATGTTCTCATCAGGGCAAAAATGCATGTCCAACGTGGTGGTCTTTATATGGAGACCTGTTTTAATATAATAACAAAATCCTCCTGTGGATTCATGTACATTTACACTATAGAACATTCGCCTATAATTCTTCTTTATTCTGGCAATTTTTGCACCACACCCTAGACATAAAAGAATGGGAATTGCAGAACACTCCCTGGACTTAACCGGTTAATAAACTGTAAAAATCGAGACAGTTTTGGTGGCTTTTTCAGGCTACAAAGGCACAGTTTATACTGATATCGAGCTGTAAAGTTTCCGCTCCCTTGCTTGCCTAGACCATATTGTGCCTCTTTATTATTTTTTTGTTTAAGTCTAATATTCGCAGTTAAAAATAATATTTATTTTGCACACTCGTTGATGGGGTTTCTGGCACAGGCAGACATGCAAATTAAAAGATAAATGATAATAATGGGCTCAAAGGAAAACCTGTCGTCAGCTAGCAAACAACTTGTTCTCAGGACCTCCCTTGAGCCGATTCTTAATTAACTTCACTATAATTAATAATTAAATGATTTGCTGGACAATTTCCAGGTTGTTATAGCACGCGTTAATCGAACGAGCGATGGTTTTGGACAGCTTAATTTGTTTTCATTAGGCCGATATTAATTCGCGCTAGACTGGGAGTTCAGAAACATGCAACCATTTGCCGAATTAGGCATACCGTATGGCCGTGCCGAAGAACTTTTATTATTCAACAGAATGAATTCATCATTAACATTTGAATCATAAGTAGGGCAATTTCTATTTCAATTGTACACTCAATACGTCCATCATCGCAGTATCAGTGTTCATTGAATAATTTCGAATGAAGAATTACTTCTTCGGCCAGTAATATTAAAAAGCAAACAGTTTTCATTTCTTGACGGTCTAAATAACACCGTTAAGTGCACATTGTCCTGGTTTAGGATTATTATTAAATGTAGCTATAATTTGGTGCAAGTCAACCATACCCGCATGAACTATTTTTTATTTAATACTATGCAAACTTGGTTTTAGTGTAGTGCATTTGATTCGGAAAACCTTAGGGCATACGATGACAATGCTAAAACTTAAGAAAACAGGCTCAGGTGAGCGCAATAATGCAAATACCTATCAGCCATTCATCTTGATTTGTAATTTATTATCCTAACTAGGCAATTATTCATATTAAGACACGATTAAGATTTGTTGTATGCGTTTGAATCATTTGGTTTATGTACAAGGTGTTTCACTATAAAAGCGCACTGGGAAGTTAGTATTAAATTAAAAAAGTTTAGCGCTTTTATAGTGGGCTTTTTATAGTGCTTTTATATAAGCAACGGTTTTTTTTTTAAATAATCGCGTATTTTGGCAACATTTCTACTTGTGTGTGGATGTCACAATGAAGACGCCAATTAGCATAGTTTCTGCTTAAATTTATGAAGATTATTAGTATAGTGTTTTGTAATAAATTGTGTTCGGCGATATAGTTTTTTTGATTATATATGCGACGATATGGGGTATGTTTCGTTATATTCGATTAGTAGGTATTTTTACTACTATTTTCTAAACAAGATCTAAATTAAAATAGTAATAGACATAAAAAGAAACAAGCAAAATTAATAAATTCTGAAGGAAAGAAATCAACTAATTGATTTAATGAATAGAGCTTTGCACGTTTGTCTCTATTTCTTGTTGCGAATGTTTTTCCGTAAATTGCCAGAACGGAATTGATATTTGTCGATGTCCAGACCAGAAATTGACTTGGTGATTTCGGTAGTCGATAAATGGGGCCTACTTTTAAATACTTTAATTTGGTTTCATTTCCGCAACTTCTTTTCCTGAAGTAATTTTTTTGGCTTAAGCAAAAATGTTCGTCTTTATGTTGTTAGAACGCGTCTGTTTCGTTTCTTATTCGATTACTATTTCAACCAGTATTTTCTAAACAAGATCTAAATTACAATAGTAAAATAGACATAAACATAAACAAGCAAAATTAATAAATTCTGAGAAAAAGCTACTAATTGATTCGATAAATAGCGCTTTGCAAGTTTGATTACAATGTTGTTGTGAATGTTCTTTTGAAAATTGCCAGAACGAAATTGAAATTTGTCGATATCCAGACCAGAAATTGACTTGGTGATTTCGGTAGTCGATAAATGGGGCCTACTTTTAGATACTTAGCGAATTTGGTTTCATTTCCGCAACTGCTTTTCCTGAAGTTAATTTTTTGGTTTAAGTACAAATGTTCGTCTTTATATTGTTAGAACGCGTCTGTTTCATTTCTTATTCGATAACTATTTGAACTAGTATTTTCTAAACAAAATCTAAATTACAATAGTAAAATAGACATAAAAAAGAAACAAGCAAAATTAATAAATTCCGAAGAAAAGCAACTAATTGATTTGATGAATAGAGCTTTGCAAGTTTGGCTTCATTTGTTGTTGTGAATGTTCTTTCGTAAATTGCCAGAACGAAATTGAAATTTGTCGATATCCAGACCAGAAATTGACTTGGTGATTTCGGTAGTCGATAAATGGAACCTACTTTTAGATACTTAGCAAATTTGGTTTCATTTCCGCAACTTTTTTTCCTGAAGTTAATTTTTTGGCTTAAGCAAAAATGTTCGTCTTTATGTTGTTAGAACGCGTCTGTTTCGTTTCTTATTCGATTACTATTTAAACCAGTATTTTCTAAACAAGATCTAAATTACAATAGTAAAATAGACATAAACATAAACTATCAAAATTAATAAGTTCTGAGAAAAGCAACTAATTGATTTGATAAATAGCGCTTTGCAAGTTTGATTACAATTGTTGTTGTGAATGTTCTTTTGTAAATTGCCAGAAGGAAATTGAAATTTATCGATATCCAGACCAGAAATTGACTTGGTGATTTCGGTAGTCGATAAATTGGGCCTACTTTGAGATACTTAGCAAATTTGGTTTCATTTCCGCAACTTCTTTTCCTGAAGTTAATGGCGTGGCATGAACGTTGAACTAGTATTTTCTAAACAAGATCTACATTACAGTAGTAAAATAGACATAAATAAGCAACATTAATAAATTTTTGGAAAATAAACTATTAGATTTTGTTTTGATATACAGAGTGTTAAATCAAAAACTATTTTATATTGCAACGCCTTCTTAACATAATTTTTCAAATGTTTTTTTAATCATCAACAAACAATTTTATAGGGCTGTCCATTTATAGCAAACCACCACGTACACATCTCCATTATGAAATTCCACTATAATTATGTATTTTGTTAACCTTGATAGAGAATAGGTTGTTGGCACTGATCACCGTTCTTGTTACTTAACAATCCGAATAGGCGATGGGTAACTCGAAGGACTTTTCTTTTTCGAACTGCACTTCTCCGAAACCGTTTTGGACATTAAGGTTTTCTGTGAAAACATTCTTATTGATTTTTATGGCATTTTTACGATATATTATACGCGTTTTCTACTCTAGTAAATGTGTGTTTGTCCTAAATTTGCAATACATTGTGTGCTAATAGGAAACACAAATCCGAAATTATGATCCCATTCATTAAAGTCGTAAAGTTCACTCCTGATGGAAATATTTGTTTTTTAAAATGTGAGATAGTAGGTTAGCTTCACGTGGGAAGGCGGACGGAGTCTAGCTGGTCCATAATTAAACGTCCATTGAATTGCAAAGATTGCAGCCCACGAGTTCAAGTGCATATTTCAGGCCCTATCACTTTCGAAGTATTCACTATGCAAACAGTTATTGCGTTTGAATCAAATTATCTCATGCCGTCGCTATTGAATTATCTTCTTATTAGATACTAATCTCAAATCCACCCGCAACATGAATGATTAATAATGGAAAGGCTTTCCATAGAAGGGCCCACAATTCTTCAGCAAAATTAACAGGCTATTGAATAAAAATATGGCAATTTAAAGAGTGAGATGATGGAATGATTAAAATAGTAGCAGACTTTTGATTATCAATTCGAACCGGTACAGTTCTACTATTCTATTGTGTGATGAGAAAATAGATATTCCTCTCTGGCAACAACCAAAAGTAACCTTCTTTAACCACCAAATATCCTTGAATAGTGCGCGTTCAACGGTGTTTTTCCTTCGGTCTAGTAGAGATGATGGACCATGGGCGTCGGCAAAGAAATGGTTCGAAAGTGCAATTAAGATTCTTGGCATTCAAGTGGCTTTATTGGTGGATCATTTGATAAATCTTATCCATTATTTCTATCAGAACTAGGTTTCGGTTTAAGCTGGAATCTGTTCATTCATCTATTGCGAGCATACAAATTGACACGTTGATTCCACTGGTCGATAAAAAGAGTTGTGTTTTAGTTAATTTGCAAAATTGATTTAATTTATTCAAGTTATTTATTGAAAATTATTTCTTTGGTTAGATTCATTGGGAACTAACCTTTCACTAAATTTGGCGTACGCTTTACGCTCTTGCTATTATGTAAAGTTATCTGTTGTATAAGTTATATAAAATACTGGATTTTTTACCTTTATTTCTGACGAATTGTTTATATCATTTGTAATTCTTCAACGTCTGTTTTCGCCTAATTGGCTTTATATTTCCACTGTCAATGTTTTAATCATTTGGTCGAATGGTTGCTTCAAACTTAATTATTTGGGCAAAGCAAGAATGTTCATTCGTAAATTGCCAGAATGCAGATCATATTTGTCGAATCCAAACAAGAAATTGAGATGATGATTTCTCTAATAATAAGGATACATTGTTGTGGGTGTTTCTTCGGCAAAATTGGTGTTATTTCTGCAAATAGTTTTTCCGCAAACGTTTTTTGGATTGTGCAAGAATCTTCATTCGTGTTTTGTGAAAATGTAATCTACATTTGTCGATATCCAGACTAGATGTTATGTTGTCCTTCTTGTCGGTAAATAGAGCTTTGCAAATTTTGCAAACTTGAAAATAAATTAATTGGCTACAAAATAATGTTCGTTTATAAATTGACGGAATGTAGGATATATTAGTCGATATCCAGAGATATCTCTAGTCGATAAATGGGGCTTTCTTTTAGGTATTTTGCAAATTTGATTCTATGTATGTAACTACTAATTCTGAATTGAAAAAAACAATTTTATGCAAATTATATTTGTTGATATCCAGACTAGAAATAGAGTTTTACATTTTTTCCCAAATTGAAATAATACGTGCGCTATTTTTCGATTTCCAGATGAAAAATTTCCGATGCAATTTTGGTTCAATTTTAAGAAAGATCAGTCTTAAGCAGGAATTTGTATATTGTCAGATTGCAAATGTAATAGGTCGATATCCAGACTAAAAATCGATATCTTGATTCCTGTAGTCGATAAATTGTACTTTGTTTGAGGTCATGTGCAAAATTGACTATTCCCTAAATTCGTTTTTTAAATCTGAATTGTAATGTTTAACCAAGACTATTCAATATTAAATTGCCATAATGTGAGTGTTATTTTTTGATATTCAGGCTAAAAATTGATCTCTTGATTTATTTAGTCGTTACTAATAGCTTTGTCTGGGTTACTTTTTTTCCGTATTTTTTCGTAATTTCGTACAATTTATTTGTGTGGTTTTCCAAAATGGAAAATTTCTCTAAAGTAAAACTGCTCTTTGGCAAATTGTCAGGATTCAACTGTAATTGTGTGATATCGAGCCAAAAATCGATGTATTGGTTCATCTAGTCGATAAATAGGGCTTTGTCTGAGATAATGTACAGATTTTATTTCATTCCGGCATTTGGTTTTCCCAAAATGAGTTAAAAGGCTTTGCTAAAAGCGACTTTGTCGATATCCAGCCCAAAATTCGATATTTTGATTTCTGCAGTCGAGAATAAGACTATGTTTGAAAAACTTTGCAGATTTGGCTCAATGGCAGATTTTTTTTGAGAGTTAGTGGTTCTTTTTAAGCAGGAATGATAATTCATATATTGCCTAACACAAATGTAATTTGTCGATATCCAGTTAGAAATCGATATAATGATTGATCGATATTCTAGTGGATAAATAGGGCGTTTTTTGAGGATTTGCAAAATTAATTTAACTCCGAAAATTGGTTTTTCCAAAATTAATTTCAAGGCAAATTTGAGACACACAAAAATTTGGTTCAATTTTGTCGATTGTTTTTTTAAGAACCAATAATTCTTGTTACGCAAGGATGTTCGTCCATATACTTATGACTCTATTTCTTCAATTGTTTATTCCAAAGTAAATTATTCGAAAATATGAGTATTAAATCAATTTCTTGATGCATTCGGTCGATAAAATTTGATTCAATTTTGTCGATTGTTCAGAAAAAATATTCTTAAAAGAAAAGAAAAATTCTCGTAGAAAGTTCGTCTATTTTGCCCAAAGCAAATGTAATTTGTCGATATGCAGTCAGAAATCGATATGTTGATTCTATTAGACGATAAGTGCAGCTTTGAAATAAGTAACAAAATTGACTGCATTTTTCGAATTGTTTATTAGTGATATCCATCTAAAAATTAATGTGTTGATTACTCTCATGGACAAAAAAACCTCTGAGATAATTTGCAAATTTTATTCCTTTGCCTCTATTGTTTTTTCCAAAATTTATTAATTTTCTTTAGCAAAAGTGTTTGTATTTCTAATTTATCAGTGCAATTCAACGTAATTTGCCAATGTTGATTTTCTAAGCGAGAAGTAGAGCTTTGTTTCAAATATTTTGCAAACTTGGTTTCACTTGATAAATTCCCTTTTCCAAAATTAATTATTTGGCTGATGCAAGTAAACAGTGCCTTAAGGAAACGCCACTCAGTTGAAAATACTATCAAAATTATTATAAAATGATAAATAATATGATTAAAATCGCGACTCTGAAATGTGCATAGTAAATTGCTCGCATACATAAAAGTGTAGGTGATTTTTCACAAATTTGGTTCTTGCAAGAGTCATTCTGCCCCGCCACTGCTCTATAAGTTAATCGCAAGAAGATTATTTGCTTCCATTCTCCACCGTAAGAATAATTGCAATCTAGCCGCTTTAATATTGTTCTTCTGCTACAGTTCTTTTAGTGACGTGCGTTTTAGACATAATTACTAGCCGACAGTTTTTTGAATGCTTTATGCAGCCATCACTTCTTATTTGGAAATCGGTCTTCAATGTCTTTTTTGCGCACAGCTTAGCAGAGGTGAGTTTCCTGGCACGTTTTAATTGAATTGTTTTCACACTTTCTTTGGACAGAAGTTTTTTTAATTAAATGTTTCATCCTGTATTTA